CATAAAATCTTCGGTGCACATAGTTCACGGCATTCAAATCCGTCCTTCGCAAGAGCTTATGTATTCATTACATAGTCAGAGCGCACCAAAGGCAACACATTCTTCGTTACAGATCTAATTTGAATCTGATGGTGAAACAGATGGGACAAAGACTGTACACGTTTCTTTAACGTCGATAGGCTAGCACAGATCACGTCAGCTGAAGTAGACGTTACTTTATTAACAATTTTATTTCAAATGTCTAATTTATTTTGAATACTTGGAATGCAGATTCATTTGCATTTTACACGTGTTTCTAATGATAAATAATAGATATAGAACATCAAGTCTATGTCTATACTAGGAAAATAAATCATTTCTGCAGGCTCCCGTTTACGTATTATTAAGACCCTGATATGGCCGCGCCTTTTTTATTATTATTACTGATTTGACAACTGACTACTTTTATGCTTTCTATTGTATTTAATATGCATTGTATGTACAGTGTATGTGGGTAATGGATCACAAAGACGACAAACATGACAAATATGGCATGTTCCTTTCTTTCGTTTTTTGTGTTCATCACATATTGTACCAGTTACTATTGTTTCCATGCTTCCTCGTATCCGACTGAAAATCTGAAAGTTGTGCTATAATCAGCTCAACTAATGTAGCTAAACTGTTATACTAATGATCACTATTGTGCTTTATGCGCTTTTCTGATTATATATGTTTCCTAATTTTGTTTTGTCCAAATTTTTAGTAAATTATCTTTTTTTTTTCGCGGCCGTGGGTCTTAATAAAATGCATGTGTATTATAATTTGAACAACAGTAACCTAAGTGTCCCTTCAGAATGTGGAAAAACATTACAATCATGATAAACCGGATGATTAAAAACCACCAGTTTTCAAATACTGCTTACGAGAAACAGATGCTGTTTATTGGATTTTATCTCAGTTAATTAGTTAGTAGATCAAACATATCATAACTAAGTTAAGTTGTTGTTTAAATATTTTCTTATTTTTACACACACAGAATTCCCAAATGTAAATATTCGTCTTGTCTAAGAAAAACGTACAGTAGCTTAACATTGTTTTGATATTTTAATGCTGACGTACAGTAGCTTAACATTGTTTTGATATTTTAATGCTGACGTACAGTAGCTTAACATTGTTTTGGCATTTTATGAACCACATTATTCGTCTTGTCTAAGAATAACGCTCGATTCATAATCTTCGGGTCGCGGGTTAGAATCCCCGTCCCACCAAACATACTCGCCCTTTCAGCCATGTGGACGTTATAATGTGACGGTCAATCGCACTATTCGTTGGTAAAAGAGTGGCCCAAAAGTTGGCGATGGGTGGTGATGACTAGCTGCCTTCCCTCTAGTCATACACTGCTAAAGTAGGAAGGGCTAGCGCAGATAGCCCTCGTGTAGCGAAATTAAGAAGTTACTGTACGTCAGCATTACGTTCTTCTTAGTTTGATTTGTTATGAATTTCGCGCAAAGCTACACGAGGACTATCTGCGTCAGTCATCCCTAATTTAGCAGTGTGAGACTAGTGGAAAGGCAGCTAGTCATCACTACCTACCGCCAACTCTAGGACTACTCTTTTACCAACGAATAGTGGGATTGACTGTCACATTATAACGTCCCCATGGCTGAAAGGGCGAGCATGTTTGGTGGGACGGGGATTCGAACCTGCGACCCTTAGATTGCGAGTCGAGCGCCCTAACCACATGGCCATGCTGGGCCAGATAGTGTTTAATCTGGTTTAATGCCGGGCATTGTTGCTTCTCAGACAGCCGAAGATCAAAATAACATCATTATTTATTTTAATCTTACAACATCCGAAACAGCAAAATGTTATTATTTTTTAATTCTTTCGTTATCCCAATTTTCTTTTCACTCACTCAGACTCTTCTACTTTTACGTTCACACAAGATTTCTGCCTATCCTTTTTTGTTAGCAACTAAGTGCTGTATAACCAAATTTCGTTTGTTTTCAAAAACAACAAGAAACGATAAATATGTTTAAAAAAATCTCAGAATTCAGTAAGAAAGCCTGCAATCTAAAAGTAATAATAAAACAATCATTAAAATCCACTGAAGTAAAAAGCTTTTAAAACATACACTTAGAAACACATTAGAAAAAAAACGTGTATTTTAGCACTAGTACTTTTTCATTGGTTCTAAAGAAAAAACGAAATTGAAAAACGACAACCAGCAATATGCGAATTATCTGAAAAATTCTATAAAAAAATGATAATCACTTGCCACTACATCATCGAACGAGACATAATTATACTAAGCTACTAAATTTTCTCTCATTGAAAGCATCAGTAAATCAATATTATAGACTGCAGTGCGCCTGGCCTGGTGCATTTCTTCGTTTTCATTCTCACCGCGGTGGCTTGTTATAGACACAAAAGTCTGAAGGAGTCACTATGTTGGTTCAGTGTGTTACTTCCATTTGATAAAAGATGGATTAACAAAACATGAGACGATGGAATCTTCGCTTTTATGGCACGTCATGTTCAAAATTCTTCGATATTGGAAATGAACTTATGATATAATGTGTTTGAATTTATTTGTCTATGATAAATTAACTTTTTTTCTCTCTCTCTCTCTGTAAAGTAGCTTATCGATTAAGCCTTACGCCTTGCTATTGTGTAAACATTGTACGTTTTTCTTTATTAGGAAGCTTACTATCATGAAAATAAATGCACGATCTTTACACAAAATATATTTTTTTTATAATTCTTAACAAGTATTCACACTTCTCAATAACACGTAAAATAACAAACATAAAACTATTAAAGATGCACATCCTATAATTTTATCCTAAACTATGAGGGGAAATGGTTGTTAATAAAACTTCTCCTGTGAAAGAATGCGCACCTTATCCTGGTGCAAGAGATAATATTTTAAACATATTAAGTTTTTTGTGATAAAATGTGCATATTAATACTATAGTGGGTAAAGAGATCATGTTTATTAACATATTCATCGTGTTGTGAAATCTCGTTCGTATAATAATCATTCCACTGCGAAGGAACGTTCATATTAACATATCGTTATGCTGTTAAAAAGCTTGTATATCAGCAAAGTCATCTTTTTGCAGGAGAACGAGCAGATTAACATAATCTTGCAACGATAACAGACTGCACATAAAAGGAAGGAGAGGAAACGTTAAGAGTTTGAGCAATAAACAATTTTGTATGATATAATACTGCATACTATTATTACTGTTCCGTATAGAATATCGAGCTTTTCGTAAAGGCTACATACCTTTAGCTTTGGAGGCACAAGAACAGGGATGATTTAAGGTACAATATGCCCAAAAATAAATAGACGCAATTTCTTACCTGAAACCATTTAATTGAATTTTTAAGATGAGATTTAAATTCATATATTTATAGATATATTATTAGTTGCAGTGAATACTAAAGCCAAAAGTATTTGATAAGACCCTAAACTACGAGTTACGCCAGGAAACGCTCTCAGATATGCTTTCCTTCCTGATAAAGCTGGTGACTCATTGGTTAAAATGCTTAAAAACTTTTATTGATCTATAGAGGAGTGGTTCCCAATAAATATTGAAAGCTGGTTAAAATGGTTAAAAACTTTTATTGATCTATAGAGGAGTGGTTCCCAATAAATATTGAAAGCTGGTTAAAATGGTTAAAAACTTTTATTGATCTATAGAAGAGTTGGTTCCCAATAAATATTGAAAGCTGGTTAAAATGGTTAAAAACTTTTATTGATCTATAGAGGAGTGGTTCCCAATAAATATTGAAAGCTGGTTAAAATGGTTAAAAACTTTTATTGATCTATAGAAGAGTAATAATGGCTGG